TCTACAGCTGGATGGCTTACAAACCCAGGGACAACGTCAAAATGCATAAAAAGCATAAAGCAGGGGTATTCTGAATAAACAGATGTCACCTTGATCACTTAATGTGAATCTCAAGACCCAAAGATCTGTGGGAAAATATTTACACCATCATCAGCTACAGAAATGGCAATGAGAATTGCACCTTAACGCCGGAAATGGTAAACATTCGCCTTTTCTAAGCAGAATGCACCGACGTCACATCGTCAAGGTTCCTGCCCACAACAACTATCGGCTTCGTCCAGCAAGCCTAAAAGACGCCGAAGTACCTGTCTGTTGTTCTGCATTTCGCGGCTACATACGGTAGGTTAATTTCGTTGGCATGTATACCTTCGTCCTCAAGGAATGTGCACACGAATTGTCACCAGTTTGCCTTAATTTTCAACTACAGTCTTAACACAGGAAATGTTATAACATTGCGGCACGTCAAGTGGTTTTTCTCATGCGCCTGTTGTCGCAAAAGATTTCCGTAGAATTACTATCATATCAGATCCTTTCAAGTGCATGAAAGCTTCATAGCGACCACGACTCAAGAAGCTAATAGCTTTACTAGCTGAGCCTTGCCATTTCGCCTACAAAATGCACGCAGGCTGTGTGGACTGGTATGCATTGGTACATTCGACGAAGGCGGTTACCGTGGGTTTTCACAAAGACGGTTGCATGGCCAGTTGCTTATTTCTGAGCCACACAGCAGTGCATTTAATTCCATGAGCTTCGAGAAACTTTTGGAAATTTTTGTTCTCTTGGTAATGATCCAAATACCTTGCGTTGGCTAGGCACCTATCTCTCTGACAGCACTCAGTGCATACGGGTCAACGGACGCAAATCCTCTCTTTAACCAAACAATTGACGAAGGCTGAAGGGATTAGTCTTATTTCAGCTTCTCTTCACATTGTGCATCAATGCATGTAAAGCCGATTCTTCAAATGAATGCGTTATGCCGATGACAAATAGGTACTGTGTGCA